GAGTGTCATCCTCATAATTTGCCAGATCATCCATAATACCATATAATACACCAGTACTTGCATTGGTGTTGGCAAATTCAGCCAAATACTTTCTGTTTGGCGTTTGACTTGCTCTACTTGTTACAACTTGCAAGTAGGTTTCTAGTTTAATATGTTCAACTGGAGTTTGTTGTGACAGATCATGGCATTTATTAATCTGCCTTGTTAAGTGACCCTTAAGTCGTTTTGGGTCCTTTTCAGTTTTGTTTCTAGATCAGCTATGTTGACTGCTTGGTTGGAATTTATAGGGCCTATTATATTGTTACTAATGTAAGTAGGGTACTTGCTTATAATCTTGAGCAATTACTAATGATAGTAGCCAAGGGTCAGTTTTATATCACCAGGCTAAAATACTACCTCCGAGGTTATTGTACATTAACCCGTAGGCTGCTCAGCCTTAGGGGTCAAGAAGCGAAAAATAAACAAATTATGTAAAAATTACTTATAAATGTTAAACAAATCTCTAACTTATTATCTTCAGTGTCGTGAAAGTTTCATTAAAATATTTTCAGAAATTTATTTTAGACGAATTTTTTAAACCGAAGAACGTTTTGTTGATAAGGGGAACAGCTCCTAATAACAGGAACTGAAGAATAATGCAGTAATAAAGAGATACAAGCACCTGTCCGACGTACAAATAAGAAGAAAAATAGTTAGAAGTTTCCATAAGGAGGATATGCAGCTGGTGCCATTATATCATTGCTACGTAATACTTAACAACACACATAGTAAGGAGTAAGTATGTTATTTTGCTCTATTTTGTTATACATCATATAAATACATTGCCCAATGTTAATATCTGTTACTTGCACCAATGTCCCCAAATATATTTTTTTAGGGGAAATTTCTTTTTTCTTTTTTTTTTCTCCTTTGTTTATTATCAAATTTTGGTGTAACCTCTACATCCTGGAGAGTGTGTAATTGTCCCTACCTGGTTGATACCTGGTTGATGGGGTTCTGGGAGTTCTTCTACTCCCCAAGCCCGGCCCAAGGCCAGGCTCGACTTGTGAGAGTTTGGTCCACCAGGCTGTTGCTTGGAGCGGCCCGCAGGCCCACATACCCACCACAGCCCGGTTGGTCCGGCACTCCTTGGAGGAATAAATCTAGTTTCCTCTTGAAAATGTCCACGGTTGTTCCGGCAATATTTCTTATGCTTGCTGGGAGAACGTTGAACAACCGCGGACCTCTGATGTTTATACAGTGTTCTCTGATTGTGCCTATGGCACCTCTGCTCTTCATTGGTTCTATTCTACATTTTCTTCCATGTCGTTCACTCCAGTACGTTGTTATTTTACTGTGTAGATTTGGTACTTGGCCCTCCAGTATCTTCCAGGTGAATATTATTTGATATCTCTCTCGTCTTCTTTCTAGTGAGTACATTTGGAGGGCTTTGAGACGATCCCAATAATTTAGGTGCTTTATTGCATCTATGCGTGCCGTATATGTTCTCTGTATTCCCTCTATTTCAGCAATCTCTCCTGCTCTGAAGGGGGAAGTGAGTACTGAGCAGTACTCAAGACGGGACAACACAAGTGACTTGAAGAGTACAACCATTGTGATGGGATCCCTGGATTTGAAAGTTCTCGTAATCCATCCTATCATTTTTCTGGCTGTCGCAATATTTGCTTGGTTATGCTCCTTAAACGTTAGGTCGTCAGACATTATTATTCCCAAATCCTTTACATGCTGTTTTCCTACTATGGGTACATTTGATTGTGTTTTGTACTCTGTATTATGTTTAAGGTCCTCATTTTTACCGTACCTGAGTACCTGGAATTTATCACTGTTAAACATCATGTTATTTTCTGATGCCCAGTCGAAAACTTTGTTAATATCAGCTTGAAGTTTTTCAATGTCCTCAGCCGAGGTAATTTTCATACTGATTTTTGTGTCATCTGCAAAGGATGATACGAAGCTGTGACTTGTATTTTTGTCTATATCTGATATGAGAATAAGGAAAAGCAGCGGTGCAAGGACTGTACCCTGAGGTACAGAGCTTTTCACTGCACTTGGACTAGATTTTATATGGTTGACAGTTACTCGCTGAGTCCTGTTTGACAGAAAACTGAGTATCCAGCGTCCTACTTTACCGGTTATTCCCATTGACTTCATTTTGTGTGCTATCACGCCATGGTCACATTTATCGAAAGCCTTTGCGAAGTCCGTGTATATCACATCAGCATTCTGTTTCTCTTCTAATGCCTCAGTGACTTTGTCGTAGTGCTCAAGTAGCTGTGAGAGGCACGATCTTCCCGCTCGAAATCCATGTTGGCCTGGGTTGTGAAGGTCATTGGTCTCCATGAAATTGGTGACCTGACTCCTAATCACTCTCTCAAATACTTTTATGATGTGCGATGTTAGTGCAACTGGTCTATAATTTTTTGCCAGTGCTTTGCTCCCTCCCTTGTGTAGAGGGGCTATGTCTGCTACTTTAAGTGCATCTGGTATCTCCCCCGTGTCCAGGCTCTTCCTCCACACTATACTGAGTACCTGTGCTACCGGCACTTTGCATTTCTTTATAAATATTGAATTCCATGAGTCTGGACCTGGGGCCGAGTGCATGGGCATGTTTTCAATTTCTTTTTCAAAATTTAGTGCGCTCGTGTTTATATCAGTTATATTTACAGGGGTATGAATATCCCGCATAAAGAAATTGTCTGGATCTTCCACCTTCATGTTGTTTATTGGAGTGCTAAACATGTCCTCATACTGCTTTTTTAGGATTTCACTAATTTCTTTGTCATCCTCCGTGTATGAACCTTCATTTGTACGAATAGGTCCAATACTGGCAGTGGTTTTTGCTTTTGATTTCGCATATGAGAAGAAATATTTTGGATTTTTCTTTATTTCCTGAATTGCTTTCTGTTCTAACTGCCTTTCTTCAGTTTCATATGAGTGTTTCAATTTCCGCTCGATTTCTTCAATCTCCCTATTTAAATTATTCCTTCTTTGATGGGAAATTCGTGTCTGCATAAGCAGTTCTGTTATTTTTTTCCTGCGTTTATAGTGTCGTCTGCGCTCTCTTTCTACGTTAGATCTCTTTCTGGCTTTCCTCAAAGGAACATGTTTCAGACAGACTTGATACGCTTCTGAAGTCAGTTTTTCTATTCCTTCTGTAGGACTTGTATTATTTAGAACAGTTCCCCATGGAATGTTTGTAAGTTCCCTGTTTATTATCTCCCAGTCTATCCTTTTATTATTAAAATAATACCTATGTGAAGATAAAATTAAATTGGTCAACAAATAAATCAGTTACAACTTGCAGAACTTTAATTTTTTTGGGCTCACTTTTTCACAGATTTCAAGCTCAGTTTTCTTTGCCTCTTTTGGTGGTTTCGATGATTAGGGACAAGATCAGGACTTTTCACTTACATAAAGTAGATCCCTAAATATATCCCCTATATAATTTTAATTATTATAATTACCTTTATATTTGTTTTTTTTTGGGTTATTTTTTCTTGACATTATTTCAACACATATTCGCCGACAACTTTCACATATTTGAGTATGAATGTTAAACAATGCTTATTAAAACACACTAGAAAATTAATGAATACTACATTATTCATTGTCGATAACTTCAACTTCAATTATGACTATAAATAGAGTTTCAACTGTAATAAGCATAAAAATATCGAGTTTCTGATCTATTCGAACCATATTTACATATAAAGTGCACTGTTGTCTGTTCAACAATCTCATTTGAATTGATTTTTCATAAACCTAAACTTCATCTAAACACATATTGACCTATAACTTTCGCACACTCGAGTACAAATCCCAACAAATGTTTACTAAAACATACAAGAAAGTTCTTTAATTAGAACTACCATATTAATTTTCAATAACTTCAACTTCAATTATCTCTAAAACCGGAATTTCAAATATGAGACCTGGTAAAAAATTAAGCATCTGTCCGATTCCCACCATATTTACACACTATGTGCAAAGTTCTTAATTCTAAGGCATCCATATATCTTAGCATTATTCGAATTATTCATTTTCAATAACTTCAACTTCAATTATCTCTAAAACAGGAATTTTAAATTTGAGACCTGATAAAAAATTCAGCTTCTGACCGATTCTCACCATATTTACATTACTTCCCCCCCCCCCTCAAAAAAAAAATATATAGGTATACGTTAGGGATAACTGTATAACAGACACTGTGCTCCTTAACTGTCTAATAGTAGGTTCGACATATATATGTATGAGATTGAGTGGACATAAATAGGAGCTGCCTCATATGGGCCAAAAGGCCTTCTGTAATTACCTTCATTCTTATGTTCTTCTAACAAACATATATATTGTGGTAACTATTGCCCATATAAAAGTAATAAGGCCCTAATATGTTCCTCATTCATCAATACAACCTTATGAGACAAAGATAATAGAATCTGAAATCTGTAAATATATCTGCCCCAAAAAATTAGTCACAAATTCTGCCACCTATTATTTTGTTATATATGTTATATAACATTATTAATATTACACTTTCGCCCGGGCATGACGCAGCATTGCGTCATCCGTTTACTGTCTGTAATGCCGGGGATGACGCAGCATTGCGTCATCCGCTTTAAAAATTCGCCAAAAATCAGGTTTTTATCCGATTTTTTTGGGACTGGGTTTAAAATGCGCGCCGATGTCTTCCCATTTTCTTTGTTGTGCCTAGTGACCCGCAGGCGGCGCGGCACACGCCGTCGGCCCATTGTTTTTGCTCCACTGTTGTGACCGGTGTCACCTCCCCTCGCGTCTCAAACGTGTGAACATTTCAGTTATTTTCCGTGGCTATATTTCTTACTGCGGCTTTAAAAACTATCTATGCTTACTCCACGATGGATAGTGATCATGAACAAGGCCCTTCCAGGAAGAAAATTGCGAAAGAAAGGCGTGAAAAGCAGAAGCTGAGTAGTGTACAGGAGAAGTACAAGCATGTGAGACTAACTCCCTCTAAGTTTCAGGCTGTATTTGACGATTTGTCTGGGTCATCTAGTGATGAAACTGATGTCGGTATTGATACTGATGCAAGTAGTGAACATTTAGAAACAGAGACGGCCGATGAGGATTTTGATAGTGATGAAAGTGAGGAGTCTGACGTCGAGACCGCCACTCGTGCACGGCGCGGTACTGGAGCTCGTGCCAGAGCCAGACGTACCAGACGTACCACACGTACCCCAGCACCAACAGATTCTGATGATGGATGGTGTAGTGACAATACTGAACCCTTTGTGGACAATTTTACAGGTACACCAGGCTTGACTGTTCCTGTACCTTCCACTGTTCTTGGTTTCATTCAACTCTTTCTGACTCAAAAATTGCTGAAATATGTTGCCTATGAAACAAATTTATATGCTTCCCAAAGTAAGGCAGGTACTGAGCAAAGGACAAAGCACAGATGGCAACCAGTGACAGTGAAAGAAATTGCTAGATATTTGGGACTGACGATCTTGATAGGTATTTGCCCGTTGCCAAGACTTAGAATGTATTGGCAAACAGGCAGATTCTGGCACATACCATGTTTCAACACCTTCATCACTGGTAAGCGATTTGAAATGATTGCTAAATATTTCCATGTTTATAACAATAAGTCCATACCACCAGGCCAAGGAGTTGACAAACTTATCAAAGTTCGCTCACTCATGCAATATCTCCTGAATAGATTCAAGAGAATATACATTCCCAATAAAAAATTGAGTTTGGATGAAGGGACAATGCCATGGCGGGGCCGTCTATCTTTCAAGACCTATAATCCCAATAAACCAGATACATACGGAATAAGGCTCTACATGCTAGCTGAAGCCACCAGTGGCTACATTTATGATTTTCAAATCTATTCAGGAGTTGGGAAAATGACGATTGACACAGTTATGGCCTTGATTGAACCACTGAAGGATAAAGGTTACCATTTATATATGGACAACTATTACAATTCGGTCAGATTGAGTGAGGCACTGCTTCAAGTAGGGGTATACACCTGTGGTACCCTCAGACTACAGCGTGGTGCACCTAAATCTCTTCAGATGCAAGCAAAGGGTAAAGTGCCAGTAGATAAAACTTTATTCAAACGCAAGGACAATACTTTCATAATTTTGTGGAAAGATAAACGAATTGTTTCACTCATAACAAATTGCCACAATGCAGAAACACAACAGGTTCAACGCAGAAAACGAGTACGGAATCGTGATGGAACAACCTCAGTGCAGCAGGTAACTGTCAACAAGCCGAATGCAATCTGTGACTACAATACAAACATGAAAGGTGTTGATCACTTTGACCAAATGATCAAATATTATCACTTCACAAGGAAAACACACAAATGGACGAAAAAAATGACCTTTTATTTTGTGCAAATGGCTATCTACAATGCTTTTGTGATGTACAACTACTATACAACAGATAGAAAGAAACTGACATTACTCCATTTCCATGAACAAGTCATTGCTGCACTATTGTTCTATAAGTCAAGTAACTGGCCTGAGGAAGATGATGACATCCCACATGCTGCTGATGTCAATGCCACTGGAGCCAATGTTGCAACACCAGGACCATCAACACCCAGACCTCCAACAGCAGGACCTTCAGGTGTGAGGCGCCCACTATTCACTTCACCTGTACCTGCAGACTTACTTTCATCGTCTGAGTCAGAAGACGAGGCTGTGATTATCACTAGTGGTGCTTCTGCTGCAACAAGACCCCGTATTGTGGATAATCCATACCGCCTCAAAAGAAACTTGTCCCATACCCAAGTAAAGATACAGAAGCGTCTGAGGTGTCGTGTGTGCAAATTGTCGGGTAAAAGGAAGGACACACACTATAAGTGCAAGACGTGTGATGTGGCATTGTGTCCTGCACCATGCTACAGTTACTGCACCATGCAGTAATGCTTGCCCACCATCCACTCCACCTATACAAAACATGGGTTGACCCTGCAAGAAACGTTTTCCAGGAGCAGGTGGAGTGGATAAAACAAATGTTCAACCCATGTCATGTTCAACACACAACACTGAGGTGGTAAGTACAAAAATTGTTATTATTTTTTTTCATACTTTCCCGTATTGTACAGGCAATGTTGTTCTTCAATTGGCCCTTATATGCACTATCCATCTAAAGAATTCTATTAGGAACATTTTCATACCTAAATGAGCGCTGTAAAACGAAAATTGAGATTATCACCAGGAAATAATACTAAACATTTGTGGGCGGGAATTGGGAGTGTAGCTGGAAGGCGTCTGAGCGCTCACTCATGGCTAACACATGGCTCGTCTTCAACTCGTCGGCGGTTGGAGCGTGACCAGGTTTTTTATTTTATATGCTAATGTTACTCTAGAGAATTCTATTGTGAACCATTCAGACCAAAATGAAAGACCTAGAACGAAAATTGAGGTGACCAGAGTGAAAATAGCAAAAACATTTTATCGTGTTTGCGAGCTCCTGGGTAACTCGTTCGCACTTTCTGTTTGCTGCGGGTAATTAGCCGGGCTTTTGGAGTTTATATGCATTTAGTACTGTAGAGAATTCTATTTCGAACACAATGATACCAAATTTAATCTTGTAGAACGAGAATTGAGGTGACAAAGTTGAAGAGAGTATACACTTTTCGGAATTAACGCGCGCTCCCGTGAAACGCTGGGACCCAAATCGTATCGTTGAGGGGGTGACGCGCGGGGTGCGCGATTTAACATGTTGACCAATTTCGTTACAACTTCACATGCTTAGTGACAGATATGCGTTCTCCAAGATGTAGAAGTCACAACAAAATCCGAATAGAAACAAAGGAGAGAGAAAAAAAAGTGGTTGTCAGTTTTTTGTACAAAGGGACATAAGAATATTGCCATTGCGCAATGTATTTAAATGATATATAATAAAATATGGCATAATAACATACTAACTCATAATGTGTAAAATCTGGCCCTCCAGGTGGCACCAGCTGCATATCCACTTTGTATACCCTCCTTACTACTACTTGTCTTCTTTGTGTGTCGAACAGGTGATTGCATCTCTTTATCCCTGATTGCCAGTAAATAGGTGTGTCCCTGTAGGAGTACTGCAAGTTAGCCTTTCTTTATCGTGTTTAGTTGGTACAGAGACACTCATTAACACTAAACGGTGATATGATTATAGGTATATATATAAAATATGAAAATAATTATTGATACACAACACAACTTGTGCTGGTATTGATCCCACCAGATATAAGGGCCTGCATAATTAATTAATGGTGTTAGGTTGTTCAATATTTAGTACAACACTAGGCTATGGTAATATAAATGGGACTAGGTTGATCAGTATTTAGTTCAACACTTGTGGGATATCTGGGGCTTAACTCATATATTCAATTATTTACTTATTGGATTTAATAAATCGAAGGACCACCCACTTTTGAGAAAAGAGGGAAAACTAATAGAAGTGATCATTAGAATAACACTAGAGAACCAGTGTCTATGGATAATCATTAAGAGAATAATCACTTGAAATAATGAATGGAATGTATTATTAATTAATTAAAGTCAGAGCCTCAAAGACCTACATTGGGGGGTATTTCTAGAAATTCATATATATCTAGGAACCAGTGTGGTTCGCCACCAGTTCATTGTTGAGTAAAGGATATAATTAATCTAAACTACTATAGATTCAAAATATGAGAACTCAAATTGTGAATATTAAAGATCATGAATTACTGAGCAACAGTCAGAGCAAAACACATTAATTACCAATCATCATTTCTGGTAATAATCTATTCAATGTAAAGATTCTACAGGAATTATATAAGAATCAATAACCATATTAAATAAATTTGTACGAAAAAATGTCTTTAAGACGATTTCTGTAACATCATTTCGTCATTCGTCCTCGTGGTCACAGGATCTCCACAAAGAAAGAACTCGAGGTGAATATCACGAATGATGAGAAACAACTTGATGACTCCTCGTATACACGCTGAAATTAGAGAAATTTAAGTAGCATTTGAATAGGCTACGTTTTATTTTCAATATTCATGAAAACGGAGGAAATTGTCGAAATTTTACTAACGTTGTATATTGGGTATCCTCGCTATATGACGACAGACTACTCACAAATATATAATCTAGGATGATGCATCAATCGAGAAACATATACTTAACATGAGCGTATTAAATACTGAGGTCTGCCGAAACCGCGTCAACCAGTCCCTGGCGTCCACTGCCGTGTATATGTAATTACGGGTCTTGGCTTCAATTGTTGAAACGTTATTAACTGGCTGAGCACTATAGAACACGTTAATAAGTAATTATTAACTATTGACCGAGTATCAACGTAATTCTTGCCGATAAATTCCCCAGTCACTACCACGTGTCTCCCCACTCTTCACGCCAGGGATGCCTTCTCTCGCACAATGGCGTCGCCGCCTCCCTCAACCCGTCTCTCGCATTCACCACAGAAATTATTAATCACGAATAATTCTTTTCCGCGCAATTATGGATGTAATACGTTAACGAGAACTGGGTTGCAATTGTAGGGATTTAAATATTATCATATTCTCGTTTTATGGTGTTAAACGAGAAATGGAGAAGAATTTATTTTCTCCATGGCATTCACACGTAACAGAGAAAACTGCTACTACATAACTATTTCAGTTAATAACTCTCGGTTTTAGATTATTGGGAGTTATATTATCCGTAGGTAATTATTACACGGCATACTGATAATTTTAGAGAACCACATTCAATTCTCTAATCCATTGGTAATAAATGTGTCTAACTGGACATTATCTGACGCAATGTTGCTACTTGATTTCATGAGAATTCTAGCATTAATACGCAGATGCAATGGTTAATTTATGTTGACACTACCGTTAGTGAAATTAGTAACTACTGTAGTTAGTATATAATGCTAATGATTTATTATAATACAATAGTAGTTTATTAGTGTTGGAAATTTCCAACAACACTAGTCAATGGTAAAATGCTTCCCTTAAAAGGGGTTGGGATCTAGCTACTAGAATATTGTGTAATAGACACAAAGTGCAAAATATTTTAATTGGAGTTTTAGTTTATATTTTAAATACTTTTCTTCTTAGATAAATTATATACACAATTGTTGTTGGTAGCCTCTCATTAACCACCGGTGTTATTTTGGTAGTAATAATTATTTTATTAGTGACTTTTCGCGAAATTAAACACCACAATCTAGTAGATAAACTCTAAAAATAAAGCCACAATTTGGTTTTATTTAATTTATGTGATAAAACTCCATGGATATCACACTCCACGAATTTGGTGGATAAGCTCCACGAAACGGCTGTGAGTCTAGGCTACTGACCAGTCTATGACTGGCGATATGTGTTTAATATATTATTGATTCATTGGACTGGTTTATTTAATTTGATGGACCAGTGTGATCTAGGATCATTAAGTACCCATCTAGGTTCAAAGGCTTGTAAATTATATTTGTTGCTCAAGATCCAATAATTTCTGTATTTGATGAACCAGTGTAGCATTTCTGGTTCATCCAGTTCGAAGGTCCATAAATTATTTGGGGGAAATCTACCTGTAATTGATTTGATTAATAATTATAAAATTAAATAATTGTATATATTACATTTCAGCAGAGTGCATTTTATAACTTTTTTCACCAGTAAACTTCCCTTCACACATTTTGGTGGGTTTTATATTTAAATCTTACCATAATTAAACGGTAGACTTAATAAATAACCCCTGGGAGGCGCTTGCCTTAATAGCCTTCAACACCACCAGGCGCAAGAAATTATATTATTAAAAACTTTTGTTTCATCATATAAAAATGCTCATTTGTGTTCCCTGATCATGGGAAAATCAAAATCAAATCGTAAGTGACATATTTTGGCTGCAATAAAGCGGTAAAGTCTGGCAAAATTAAAGCGTTGACAGAGTAAGTGTCCTCTGACAGTCTTCTCTACCTCGCGGCAGGCAACAGTTGACACAACGACATTATTACCTAATTATTTCAATGTCTCTGATTTTTTCTCACTTTTTTGCAGTAATATAATTCAATAGTGTGTAATGTGTTATATTTATATAATAAAAATGTGTAAACCAAATGTACTACTAATCTGGTATGGTGTCCAAACAATATAGTGGCCGCCAATACCACAGCCAGCAGACCATGCTACCTCACTCACCAAAAATCCTCCTCCCACTATACTGTTTATGCTGTTAATACGCTATATACACACACACGTTATATATACGTATCTACATGTTTTATTCAACATAATTGTACAACAAAGCTGGTATGATGTCCAATCAACATAGTGGCCACAAGAATCTGCATGACAAGTGACACAGCAGACGACAGCCTCACTCCCTCCCACACTAACACCTCCCTCACCAAAATGTCTCCTCCCAGCATATCCTTTTACTGTTATTACACTATATATACACAGGTTATATATAGGTATATACATTTGTGTCCACCATAGCGAACCACAAAACTGGAATGGTGAGTCCAAACAACAAGAGTGAACTGCCAGACCCAGCCAGCAGACGCCATCTCCCTCACTCCTTCAACACCTTATTCGCCAGCATTCCTCCTCCCACAATACTGTTTGTGCATTAATTAAACTATATCCACACGTTTTATATAAGTATCTTAATCTTTTATACACCATAATTGTACAACTAGGCTGGTATGGTGTCCAAACAGCATAGTAGCCACAATACATGCATGACATGTCACACACCAGCCAGCAGACGACAGCCTCACTCCCTTCCTCACCAAAATGGCTCCTCCCAACATACTCCTTTTGCTGTTATTACACTATATATACACGTTATATATAAATATTTACTTTTGTGTTCACCATAGCGAACCACTAAGCTTGTATGGAGAGTCACCACACAGGGCCACGAGGCCGATGTTTACA